TATAGCAACATCGATATTCTCCATATTTAAAATTTTAATCCAATTTACCTTATCAATAGTCTCATTTATGAACTTTATATTTACTCTTTTATTCTTTTCATTGTTCATTCTTCTCAATATGTGTACTGTTAGCCGTTAGGGTTTAATTGATGGTTAAATTGGATTATCGTTCCATAATGATCAGTTATACTGCATTCCAGAATGAATGAGTTTATGCAATGTATATCGATGTTTTTAGTAAATATGTGATCAATGCAAGATTTTGTTGTACCTATTTGTTACACGCGTAAAGTTATTTATGCAAGAGATAAAATTATTATTACTTGCCATTATATTAAGATAATCATTAGATAAATTTGCGTCCATAATATTAATATTCAGATCACCAGCGATAATAAAATGTTTATTATGATCATCTAAGTGTTCTAGATAATTATTTAAAGTTCCCAAACAATTATCAATATATCTATAAGGGGATCTATATATACCTATTAATAATAAATATTAATAATAATGTATTATCTATATCAAGAGAGATTTTAATAGAGTTACTATCAGTTATCATATTATATGAAATATTAATTAATTTAAGGGGATTTTTAATAAATACGGTTACCCCATCATTCTTATTTTTTATGCCAAGTGAATTTATAGAATGATACCCATTCAGCTCAAATTTAAAGTCATATAATAGCCAAGTTTCAGTAAGAACAATTATATCAAAATTAGAATTGTTTGAATTTAATAATAAAACTAATTCGTCAAAGTAAACAAAAATACTACGAATATTAAGAGCAAGAAAATTTATATTATCGATACCATAATTGAAGCTATAGACAAATCTTCAATATACTTATTGTACTAATATAATTTAAACTATTTATATATTTTATAATATTTAGACAAATCGGTATGTCATTCACTCAAAAATATTATTCTCTATCTTTTGTTGTAATAGGTAATTTTACCCTAAGATTACTTAAAAACATAGAAAAATGATTCTGCGTAAATGCTTTTTGTCTATGTTGAGCGTGGGCCAAAGAGAGAGAACAAATAGTGTGCTGACATCCTCTAGTAAAGGTACGTAACGCGTAGGTTAAATAGCTTGTGCCGACCGCCGCTCTATTGTTTTCGTTACTATCGTTAGTGTTAACCGTTTTTACTATAGTAAAACTTATATAACCTAATATATTGTAGACTGTAAGTACTCAAGTGCGCTCTCAAAATTGAAAATGATCACTTAAGATTGAAAATTTGAAAGTACTGGAAATATAAATTTGTACACGGGAGGTAAACGACGGCATGTCACAAAATAGTAATTTTACAGAAGATGGGTCCAAATGCCAAATGGTGTTCTTTGCTTCTAAAAAAGTGGACATGGTTTAATTTTCAATAGTCTTATTTCCGTTACTAGTGATAACTGGACATAGTGTATACCTTTACATAGAGCGAAAAATGTAGGTACAACAAAGAAATAGAGCTTACTCTATTTCATAAAAAATAGACATGGTGTCCATTACCTTCGGGGTACAGGACTATAACTTTGTTGATGTGTTACTTGAAGTAATAGAGTTTAATCTGAGAGTTACATAAAATGCAGAAGTAAAGAATTCAAATAAAAAAAAAATATGTGAACATTAAGCGTTTATTAGACAACAGATGACAAAGCTTGAACAAAAAGAAATAGGTCAGTTTAATTTCGTTAAACCTTTAATAGTATATCAAGTTTTTTCCAAACCAATAATCTATAAAATTAAAAATGTTCACAACACCACCCATTGCAAAATAACATATAAAATAAAAACAATAAAATCAATGTATTTTTGGGAGATGACTCAGTAAACCTGACATGAAGTGGTAATTATAATGCTGACTCCATTCCTACGTCCCTCTCATAGCCTGGGCAGCAATTCATACCTACGTCCATCTAATAAACCTGCGGGCTGTAACTCGTTCTTGATTTGAGGATTGGGCCGCAATTCATCATCACCGAATCAAAGTGGTTATCCATAATTTACTTCCTTTACAAGTACCCACGAATGATGTTGAGCCAGCAACCTCATAGGCTTCTCTTTAACTACATATTGATGTGCATAATGTTCGGCATCGTGTAAACAAACTCCCTCTAGTCAATAGTCATTAGGCGCGTATACAGGGTTCACCCCCCCCCTAAAATTAATAGTTGTGTACTTTATTCATATATAAAGATTATAAACCCCTCCCCGATATCTACTATGAACCCCCCCCCCACCCCGAATTTTTTTGTGTACCCGCTTGATAGTCATACCACTTCTTTTGTCTCTGTCTATTTCTATGTTATCATCCCAATACCTCCTCTTGCCAGTAGCGTATCTAGGATTTTTTCAAGGGGGGAGGGGATATAAAGATTTTAATTATTAAAATGTATTATATTATAGACATATTATTATATACCTACATATTGTATTGTGTACAAAATTTGGTCTCCAGGGGGAGGCATTTACCCCCCCAGGAAAGACGCCACTGTCTCTTAACAATGGCTTGAATTACACTTCTTGCCAAAGGTACTAATCTCGACATTTTGCTAATTATTGTCCATAACCTATAACCACAGTAATGTCTATAATATATTGTTATCTATAATTTTTGTAATTTTGTAATTTAATTTAATTATTATTTATTATTCATTGTTAATAAATTACATATATATTATTATACTATCCATTTTTAATCATTAACCATACGTAATATCAATGCCCAATGGTAATTGGTAATATATGCTTATTACTATTCCCGTGAACAATTGTGATCGTCGAATCGTATAATTGCTCGTTTAAATAAATAATAGGTAATCGAATGACATTTCAATTAAAAATTATAATATATAATTTATTATTTTTTTTTTTTTTATTTTTATTATTTTTTTTTTTATTTTTCGTAGTTAACTATCTATTTTTATCAAAGCCTATTTTATTAATCTGCCCACATTTTATTAAATTTAAAATTTAAATTATCATTTGGATTTGGTATAGTATAATAAGACGTTTATATAACTATTCAACTATGTATAGGTACTTATAAAAAGTTGTATTGTTTTTTAGTTTTATTATACAATATACTTAACTATAAGTCTATAATTATAACTTTGTTAGGCATGTTTTATATGTCATTTATATCTAGAATTTTATATTAAAATAAATACAAATTAAAGTCTATATAGGATTATGCTTATCATAGTAACTTATTTTTTTCTATTTAAATAACAGCTACAAATACATTTTAATATTATTTACTCTTTTAGTGTACTGTATACCACTCCACTTGAAAACATTATTAGCATAGGTAATTAATTTAATTATAAGTAGGTATTACAATAAATAGTAACTACGTATTGCATTAGGAAATAGGAAATTAATTGACTTTGTTGATTTAAGAGGACGTGATACCCACATGTGTTGTCTCCGTCTTACAAGTGCATAACATACCAAATTTTATGCTCAGCAAAACACGTGTAGCTCCGTTAATTTAAAAATCAGAGTAAATTAACCTCTTATAAAATCTAAAGGTAAGATTATTATACAGACAACCTCATGGGTTTTTTAAAATATTTTAATTTTTAAGCTAGTCATGATCTATAAACAATTTACAATTTTAAAATACTCATAGCTCGCTTAAAAATTAAAATATAATAAAAAGCTCATGAGATTGTCTAGTTAATAATCTTACCTTTAGATTTTATAAGAGGTTAATTTACTGTAATTTTTAAATTAACGGAGCTACACGTGTTTTGCTGAGCATAAAATTTGCTATGATATGCACTTGTAAGACGGAGACAACACATGCGGGTATCACGTCCTCTTAAGAGGACGCTACACCCGCATGTGTTGTCTCCGTCTTACACACGTACGACATAGACAAAACGCGTTTAGGCAGTCTGAGTATAACTCGCTCAATTTTGGTTCTAGAGTAAAAATAACTATTATGAAATTGAATTGTGATAATATTTCTAAGGGCAAGACGCTGCAGTTTTTTTAAAAAATTAAATTTTTTAAAAGTCAAAGGTATTTTAAAAATGGTGAAATTTTTTCTATATCTAAACGATATAATGAACGTTATATTGGGTATAATGGAAAAACCGCAGCGTCTTGCCCTTAGAAATATTATCACAATTCAATTTCATAATAGGCATTTTTACTCTAGAACCAAAATTGAGCAAGTTATACTCAGACTGCCTAAACGCGTTTTGTCTATGTCGTACGTGTGTAAGACGGAGACAACACATGCGGGTGTAGCGTCCTCTTAAGAAATAATAAAATACTTACAACTCACGAGGGCGTCTAAACAATTTTAAAACATGACGTAGGGTGAGGGGGCGTTAAGTCAATTAGTATTTTACCCACACAATTGGGACAATTTTAGCTTGTTACATTACACGATTTCTCGTTTATATGGTGTAGGAATGTGAACAAATATTGCAGGGTTGAAGTAAAATATATGTGCTATAGTTATCTTTTTAGTCAAAATATTTACCAATTTTACAAAGAAAATAGTGTATAATCATAATGTACTTTTGTCCTTGAAAAATACTTAAGTGTTTTATGTGCATAAAAAAGTGGGTGAGCCCCCTCTATTTCTGCCAATTAATAAGTATACCTATAACACTAACCTGGGTATAGATATTAGGAATATTATAATATATTGGATTAGGTATATAATATTATTCTTGTATGTGATATAGATATATTATAAGATAATATACAACGACAATTTTTATTTCGTTAGACTCGTTAACTCGCTATCTTAAAATGCCCACTAAAATAAATTAAACAAATTAAAAAGATAAACAGTGTAAATATAAAATAGGTAGGTAATAGGGTATTTATCTGACACTCGACTCATTAGTCATTATATATCATTATATACTGTAGCATGATAAAATATTTTTATTTGTATGCTCGTGTTAGAATAGTTGATGGAATTATATTAGTTTTTAGTTTATAATTTGCATCGCTTGAGTTACCATGTTAAAACTATTATTCTTGATTTTGTGTTCCTCCTGCGTTTTTGCGCAGGATGGAACCGCCGTAAGAGAGAAAATGGATGTGTTCCGTTTGCCGAACAATACCGAACCGATATCCTACACGTTAGATGTACAGACTTTTATTGATCCACAAAAAAACCAATTCACATTCACCGGTACCGTGAACATAACCATTCGGGTAAAAACATCAACAGAAGAGTTAACTTTGAATGTAGATGATTTAAAAATAAATCAAATCGATGTGACTACGGATTCGACAACTAACATTGCAGTGACCGGAAACCACGTCGTGGTCAAAAATGAACAACTCGTTATTCAATTTAAGTCACCTGGACTTATTGCCGATCGAGTATATAATGTTCAAATCGCATACTCGGGAGAGTTACGGAACGACATGACAGGTTTCTATAAAAGTTGGTACAAGGACGAAGATGGTAGTGTAAAGTGAGTTTTTTCAGATATAGGTAAATTCCCTACAATATATATTTGTATTTTATAATTTATATATATTTAAAACGAAATATTTAAAATATATATTTAAGTATTTAAATTTAACATATATAATTCCAGTTCTAAATTACTTGGAACGTCACGACAACACAAATATTTGTTCTTCATGGTTTCATTATGTCCAATTCTTGAAAATAATATTAATATTTGTATAAGACTAACCTACTGCAAAATTACTTTTGAGTTAAAATAATTTCTAATTATTTATGAATCAATAGAAACTAGATAATGACGCAATAGAACAATTAAAATTTTTTAAAAATACGCATTGTAAAACCATTACGTCCATAACTCAGCTCGGTATCTAAAAACAGTTTAAAAAACTAGTTTATAATATGTATTCCTAAAATGAAAATTATATTTGTAGTTTTACACATCTAATTTTTACTACCTACCTGTTGAGAAACTGATGCCATGCTTACATTTATTGACTTAATCTTGATTCTTGAGTACTTACATATATGTTATGCACATTTCCGCTACCGGTTCAAATTCAGATTTACCATCGTCCTATGAAGACATTTTATATAATACGTACTTAAAATGAAGCTCTGCTCAGAATAGTTTTATATTTTAATGTGATGATTCGTTTCTTTATTGAAATGTATACCTATTATTGTTATGCAGCGCACACAATTTATGCAAATAAACAATAATTCAATAAACATTATCCTGCACTGTGTCTGACGTTAATATGAGTAACATGATGGACATCACACAAGGTTCAGTACTTGATAAATGGTCCTAGGGCCCCCACACTTCAACACAGGATAAAGAACAGGGAAAATCCCGAATTCCCGGTGGGCCTATCCGCCACTGAATTGATCTTGTTTAATTCCCGGTACCTATTTCCTTAACTATAACCGCTAATAATAAATAAAGTAAAAATAAAAATAATACCTACCTACTGACTTATTATTTGTAACATATGTTTAATGTTACCCATATGGCTATTGTCTATATGCAAAGAAAAGTTTTAACATAGCTAATATGCCCAAAACATTTACATTTTTGTAAATGATAAATTTGTTATTTCTAATAAGATATAATATGTCCGTAGCATAGTCAATGTATGTGTCACATGAGATATGTTAAACTATGCCTTATGTGACACATACATTTGACTATGCTACGGACATATATTATCTTATTAGAAATAACAAATTTATTATTTACAAAAATGTAAATGTTGTGAGCATATTAGCTATGTTAAAACTTTGTTTTTTTTAAGGAGGTATAAGGTACATATGGTATATGTGTACTAACTATCTAGGTATATATTATTATAATTATATAATTTTTTTATCAATTTGTATTTTGTATTTATTTTAGATGGTTAGCCGTTACTCAATTTGAACCAACATATGCTAGAAGAGCGTTCCCGTGTTACGACGAACCTGCATTTAAAACACCCTTTACAATTTCTGTCACAAGATTAGAAAAACAAATTTCTTTATCAAACATGCCAATAGCAGGACAAACTATCAAACAGTAAGTTCATGAAAAATAATAATAAAAAACCTATCTGACAAACAAAAATTTTAAAAATTGTTTAAATATTTAATATTAAAGTTATATTATTTTGTAGACCCCTTACTGAAGGTGGCCCTAAATATGTACGTGATCAGTATCAAACTACAGAACCAATATCTACGTACTTAGTAGCATTTTCGGTTTCGGAATTTGTAAATACAACAAAAGATCAAAGAGTTTACATTTACACTCATGCAGACTATATTAATCAAGCGACGTACATCGAAGAAAGAGCTACTAAATTACTCAATCTGATGGAAATTTATACAAACATACCATATATGTATTCCAAAATAGACCTTTTAGCAGTTCCAGACTTTTCATTTGGTGCGATGGAAAATTGGGGATTAAATACATACAGGTAGACACTACTAAATATTTTTTAGAAAAGTTATAAATACTTACCATGATTCATATTATGTCCCAAGTTATTTTTTGATTCATTAGTAGGTAACTATATAATATTGTGTTCTTAGTTCTTACTTCTATTGTTTTATACCTATGTACACCACAGGACGCAATTAGGGTGATGACGGGGAAAGTAAAGGGTTTAAGCAATTTAGCCCCTCAAATCGTTGTCAATTATATGGTGCATGGTATATATTTTAAGATGGCGTTATACAGTATTACCCGCATTTGTTGTCTCGGTCTTTTATTTTTATTTTCAAGCGAGTATTTTAAAAATGATCATAACTCGCTGCTTGTTAATTAAAATATTGTAAAAAATTAATAAGATAACACGGATAATGTTCTCAATTCTTATACTTATAAGTTAAATAATATGCAAACAACGCCCAACAACACAAAATTGGTTCGGCTGAATGCAAATTCCCTAGGTATTATAAGGGAATTTCCCATTCGTAAGACGTAGACAAGTATGAAGTAGACAACACATGTGGGTCTGACACTCTGACGTCCTCTAAACTCTTAAGTGTCTTTTATTTGCATAGATGATGAAAAAGTTTTAAGTTTTTTCTCCGTGTATGGTTTATCTTATTACTCGACAATTTTAAAAATATGTCTTAGTGATTCAGGCCTCCCTTAAAAAAAATCGAATACCTACATTACACTGCTGTATTGTGTTGTATGTGTTAGATACGTCTTATAGATGACAGATGTTATAATTTTATCCTTATATAATAATATATATACCTATATATATATTATATATATATTGGTATTTGATTATTAAGTAGGTACCAATATTGTTAGTATAACGTCATACCCAATACAAATATTTAATTGTTTTAATTAAGATTACCAATTTGCCCATGAACTTAACACTGCATTCAGATGTTTTCCACTTCTCGACTCACGAAAAAATAACAGACAGGTATACAAGGGCATTAGTATCCATAATAGGAAATATGAATAGTATCCTATCACTATAGGCATCAAAGTCCGATTTACACCTATCATGATTCATAATTGATAACTATAGATGTAGTCTGAAATACCTACTCAAGCTCAGTTTACTCTACATTATTTGCACAAAAAATAAAAAAAACCCTTCGGTACCTATACCTACATGGCTACATGCAACAGATCACCCAATAAAATTCGATTGCACCTCAATATACTAAATGTCTAAATACTTTTAAGTTTTAACTAGACACTTTCTGTTACATTATAGTTATAAAATTATAAAAGATAGGTATAACTAAGTGTATTCCCGACCAATGGTACTATAGAGTAGAGGTTCACTTATACACCTATATAGGTTAATCTGCGGCAGCTAGTAATTATATAAAACACTTGTTATGATAATTTTTTTTTCATATAAAATTATGTTTATCATTTGAGTTTTTCATTTATTTATGATAAAACGTATTTTATTTTTAGCCTGAAGTAGGTAGGTTAGGTATACGTACCTACTTATAATTTATGTATGTGTATTAGTTTTTCAAGCTAAGTGGATACTACACTCGTACAATAGGTTCTTTCTGCTTTCATCTTGTTACTTTATTATATAATACTTGAATGTTTCAGAGAAAAATATTTACTTGTGACAAATAAATCTACTGAAAAAGACAAAGAGTTTGTAATTACAACTGTTCAACATGAATTGTCACACCAGTGGTTTGGCGATCTCGTAACATGTTCATCGTGGAATTATCTTTGGTTAAATGAGGCTTTTGCCACATTATTCGAATATTTTGCTGTGCAAGTGGTTAGATATAAAAAATGCAATTGATTTTTCGTTTTTTAATCAAAATTAATTGAAAAATAATTATTGTTCAATGGTTTCTACAGGCAGAACCTGACTGGCGTATTGGAGATCTATTTGTCATTGAACAACATCAAGAAGCATTAGCCTACGATCATAGACCACGTCATCCAATCACAGCAACCGTTAATGATCCAACTGAAATACAAGATATTTTCGATACAATTACTTACAATAAAGGAGCTTCAGTACTAAGAATGTTAAATCATGCATTGAATGATGATATATTTAGAACATCTTTAACATTGTATTTGAATACTTATAAGTAAGTTTTAAAAAACCTTGGATAGTGAGACATAATAGCTATTAGTTATGACTTGTTCACAGTAAGTATTCATTAGAGAGAAAGCTAAAAAGCTTAGAAACAGTTGTAGGGTTGCAGCTATAGTAATAAGTAGGTAGTTCATTAAGTCTATTATAATTTTGAATATCCAAGTGTACACCTATCTGGATAGCTGGATAGGTATAACATCTTATACAATAAGAGGCATAACGATATTTTATAATATATTATTACATAATATGTTTATTATACTTTTATATGGACTCACCATACCTAACTGCAGTCTTAATTATAGTTTAAATCTATAATAATAATTATTATTATAAATTGGATACATTAATTAAATAATTAATATTAATTAATTACCTACCTAACCTAATGATTTGTCACACAATACAATGTGTCCCGTGGTGAAGTGACCGGCCGACGTCATATGAAAGTATACCCAAAATGATGAAGAAATACCCTTTAAAGAGTGGGTCTAACTTTTTTAAGTTATGGGCAGTTAACTTTTTTTTTTCTATCAAAACCAAACCTATCACACATTTTTTTATGCATCTTCAAAACTAATCCACATTTTGACGTAATTATTTTTTTATCTTAAAGCTATTTAAGTGTTCTATGAACCAACGTACGCAATTAAACCAGAAATTTACAAATTATTTTTATTAATTTGAAAATATAATTATTTTTATCAATAATAATGTTTTTAAAATTAAATCGCGTATAAATCCAAAAACTGTAGTATTTGCTATGGATTTTTTCCTTATTGTATTATTCTGTACAATGACAACACTACAACAAAAATTGAAAAATATACCGAAGAAATTAAAATTAAACGATTAACGACCAATTAACGAGCGATACTCGATTCTAAGAAAATCAAGATTGTAACGACGGCGTATAATTCTGCAATCATAAAAAATGTTGATTAGTTTTGAAGATACATAAAAAAAATGCGTGATAGGTTTGGTTTTGATAAAAAAAAGTTAATTGCCCATAACTTAAAAAATAAAAAAATTAGACCCACTCTTTAAAGGGTATTTCTTCATCATTTTAAATATACTTTCATATGACATCTGCAGGTCACTTCACCCCGGGACACATTGTATAATATGACAATGACTATATTATCTTATTAACTAATTGTTCTTTAAAATTTGTTTAATTTTAGGTATAAAGCTGCAGAACCAAAAAATTTATGGAGTTCATTTGATAGTGTATTATTTGACGCTAATTATAAATCAGGGATATTAGGAAATAAAATTACTGTCGAAGAGTTTATGAGGCCGTGGACTGATCAAGCAGGATATCCTGTAATAAAAATCGACACATCGAGTCCCAACTATATTGGTATATCCCAAGTACGTCGTATCTATATGAGTATTAAAATTATTCAATAATTACATAATATGTCAATATGTGCATAACTAGTGGAAGAATTAAAAAATATTATTTTACAAAATCCTATAGGCTGTAGCCCCCTGCCTCTCATATAAAATACATGGCTTCGTCACTGTGTAGACATAAATCATTAAATGTAGTATAATGATAATATGTTATACAAACGAATTGGTAGATAGGTACAATATTTGTGTTGCACTGTACCATACGTCTATGCAATATATTAATATAGGGGTGAGCTGTTTAGGACTTAAAAACTTAGGTACCTACTTAGTACTTACTCATACTGTAGCCTGTACCTATCTTACCTACTAATCTACCTATCCGTCCTACAGACATAGGCACTATATTAGTATACAGTTTGATGTCTGTCCACTGTTGTGGTGGGGATGCGTGGAAAAAACTTGTTTTGGTCGGTCGAGTGGTTCAATCTTATTCTGAATAGAGTATAGAATACATTACTAGTTACTACATAAGAAATAATATTACAGGTACCTAGGTAAATATTAAATAATATTTACCTAGGTAGGTTAGGTTAGTTCATAATAAAACAATAAGTACCTAATATAATTATATAAATATTTTTAGTAATAGGTATATGTTGACAAATTGTCTCTGTTCAGAATCATTTGTAGTATGCAATTATTTAAAATTTGACACATCCGTCACATCATCTATTATTACAATGACGAGGTAGGTACACTTGACAGGTACTATACAGCAGTACAGCACTACAACAGAGCTGATGTTTTTGACCTTGCCTTCAGGAAATAAAAAATAAATTCAAATAAGTATAGTACTATGCACTTAAAGTCCCAAAATAATAAATATGCAAATATAATCCCAACAGTTTTGGTTTTTCCATCAAGTTGTAAATAGTAATTTGTAAAATTGCACTTTTATAGTATAGGTAGGTTGGTACAACAAGAACTACCAGGAATAATATGCAAATGCGCGAATAAGGGCATTAATAAATAGGCTTTCCCCTGCCATGGTGTCTGACCGTGCCTATGATAAAGTTTGGTTTAGGTACCTAAGTGGCTAGGTACCAATATTTAACCGATTAAACTTTAAATGGCATTAAAATAATTATTTCCACAGAAACAATATCAAGTGGATGTACCTAAACTAAATTCTACAAATTTGTGGTATATTGGTCTTTCATATACTACGCAATTACACAAACAATTTAATAATCTTCAACCAACAGTTTGGCTGAATCAGACAGAAACCGGAATAAGTATACCACTTTCGTTTGATGAAGGATGGGTAATATTTAATCTTCAATCAACAGGTGAGATTTCATATTAGTACCTACCTACCAACTTATCTATTTTGTAGATCCTTTCTATTAAAATAAATGTTTATATTTTCTTAAAGGTTTTTATAGAGTTAATTATGATCTTAAAAACTGGGATCGACTAATTGCTGAACTGAAGTTCAACCCAAAAACAATACATGTTCTTAACAGAGCACAACTGATTGATGATTCGTTCAACTTAGCAAGAGCAGGCGAATTGTCACATTTTGTACCGTTTACTTTAGTGTCATATTTAGAGAAAGAAGATGATTTTATTCCATGGTACTCGGCGTTAAATAGTATGTCATTCATTGTAGAAAGATTGAGACGTTGTCCACATACGGGAGCTCAAGTAAAAGTAATACAATTTTTTAGTTTTTTAAAATCATATTTTTTAAACATATTTAATCTAATGAAAAATGTTAAAACCTTAGGATTTTGCAAAAACATATGCGGAAATAGCATATAAAAAAGTCAGTGACCAATATGAGAAAAATGACAGCAAACATTTGACAAAGACTAGTATGCAAGCATTCTCGAACTGGGCATGCAAATTAGATGTTGAATCATGTATTAAATCAACTTTAAACTATTTTAACGCGTGGGAAAAAAACGGAACAGAGTAATTTATTAATTAGTTAATATTTACAATCATAATTTGTTCAAAATTAATTCCTATGTTTTCTCTCAATAGAATACCACCGGATGTAAAAGAAGCAGCCCTCTGTAGTGGTGTCAAAAATGGAACTACCGAAACATGGAATAATGTTTTTGAATTATTTAAAAAAACATCATCAACCTCAGAACGACAAGCATCACTATTAGCATTGGCTTGCAGCACAAATAGCACAATATTGTCCAAGTAAATATATCATATTGATTAAAAAAAAAAATTTTAACATGAAATAACTAAATTCTAATATCAAAAATAATATCCATTGTATTTTAGCTATTTAAACCTTTTACTCGATGGTAAATGTCCAATACGTCCACAAGATTATAAAACTGTGTTTAAATCACTGACATCAACACCAGTTGGTATTAATGTAACAACTCAATTTTTACAAAACAAAATCAACGAATCTCTGAGTAATATGTGGGAAGGCGAAGAAATGATTATGCTTATGTACTCATATTTGGCTTCAAATGTTGCAACAGTGAAAGAAATTAATGAGGTATATAATACATGTTATTATTAAAATAATAATTAAATACAATTTTATGTCTCATGAGATATGCCGCATGTTATAATTGACTCTATTTTTATAATTATTTTTTTTAGATAAATGCAATCAGAAGATTTACTTATTTATCACCAGCATTGAAAGAATCATTTGATGATTCGTACAAAGAAGTGGAACTCAATTCTGCTTATTTTGAGAGATGTCATCCACTTATGCACGAATGGTTCGATCCACCCAGTCCAACTACTGTAGCACCATCCAGCGCCATTTCAAACTCATACCAGTACTTTAATGTTATTGTTTTATCTTTGATTTTTGTAACAACACTAGTAAATATTAATTATTTCAATGTAATGCAATAACTAACAAAGTATTTATTAGTTATTAATTGTATATTGATGTTTCATTTGTATTGTTAAAAATAATTAACAATATAAGTTATTAATTTTTAATTTGTAATTTAAATTATCTCCCAAAGTTTTAAACTAATATCAGTGTCTTTCAATATTAATTGTTCATCGTCATCATTTTCTTCATTGTGCCTCTGTCCAGATGCTGTTGCTAATAAAGGAAGAGTTGGATGCAAACTGAAAATAGTTTTAAAATGTTACTAATTAATAACAAAATATAACAAGGTTTTTTTCTACATAAGACGTATTTTACGAACACAATTCTTTTGAAAAATAAATGAAAATGAATGTCTCACATTAAACAATTTTTTTTCATAGAATAGTTTTCTAATATTATCATTATTATTTATTGGTCATTATAGTTATTACCAGACGCTACATAATTTAAAGTTTGTGTTATTACTAACCTGACACCATTGACACAATCGTTATGAACAGAAATTTTAGAATTTAAAGTAAGAACACTTTCTACGCCATCAGAATTTTCAATATTCTGGTCTAGTTTCCAAGTACTAATTTCACCTGTACAATTACCTAAAGATATGAACATTAGTGATATTAATGATATTTTACAATTTTTAAGACATATAAGTATTTTATACAAATAAATCAAAATTCATAGGTATCTGCAGTTATTGAAATGTTGAAAGTTTATTATATCAAGGCAAATCACCTTATTTATGAATAATTATTTTAAAATTAGATGGTTCTACCTGAAACTAAATATTGTCCATCCGATGAAATGTCGAAACAAATTCTTTGATTAGTAGTCACTGTTCTTTCAGCAGAATATAGAGTTTGTCCAACATTCCTTAAATCCCAACATACAATATCATTATCACCTTTTCTGCTCCCTGAATATAATTTCAACCCATCAGGTGAAAATTGTAATTGGGTAATTCCTGACTTATGTCCCCTTAATATGTACATCAGTTGATTACCACCGTAAATACCTAGGCAAAATATTTTGTTAAATACACAATACTACAGTAATAAATAATAATAATTACAAAGAACTCACCAATATCTTTACTATATGTACCAACAGCAAAAATGCTCCTGTCTACTGGATTCATAGCTATGGTCGATATGATTGATCTATGCAAATCTGTCTTAGTAGATATTTCAATAAATTCACGTCCTGGACGGTCTGTACGAAAGATATTTAATTTGCCATAACTACCACAGTAAATTTCTTCTCCAGACCAGTTAAAGCATAATGAGTTAACATGTGCAACTTCATCAACACTGTTAGAAAATATATATTAAGATAAAATGTATCCAAATTAATAGTTTTACATAACAGGGGGCATTACAATAGCAACAGGATGATTTATAAGTTTGAAATTAACCATAAAATAAGTGCCCCCAGATTTTGTAGAAAATAATACTTAAATTAAGTAGAAAATTATCTACATGTAACATGTAAATCTTATTATATAAATGCAAGTAATTAAAATGTATCAATGTATAGAAACAAATAAACATACTGATCATATACTCTATATGTTGCTTCTAATTGTCCATCTACAGCATTCCAGAGGTGAATAGGTGATCGACTGCTAGTACTCAAAATTCTGAAAATATCATGGCATTAAGAGAACGTAACACTGGCATTTGTTGTGGAGATCTTACATCTGTGTAACATAGCAATTTTACGCTCAGCAGATCACGTTTAGCTTTGTTAGTTAAAAAATTAGAGTGAATCGACATACTAATTATATGTGTTTGAATGTGGGTTTTTTTATGAAAGTTCAATTTTTACATTTATAGAGTGAATTAAAAATGCTCATAACTCACTTAAAAACTGAATTATTATTGTAAATAACCAGTATACAAACACAGATAATTTTCATACTATTAAGTTTCTTAATAGGCCGATTCACTCAAATTTTTAAACTAACAAAACTAAACGTGATCTGCTGAGCATAAATTTATTGTTACGCACTTGTAAGGCGGAGAAAAAAATGCCAGTGTTACGTTGTCTTAATCATTGATGTTACATTCTATATTAACTGATTTAATATTTTGGTTTATATACATTTACTAACAATTTTACGTTATCGCTTTTTTGCACAGTATTCGGGTACCATACATAATCGTATATAGTTCCACCTTCTTTTATCTCATTGACTTTACGAAGTTGTTTTTTACATTGATCTATTTCGTCTGTTTCAATATTGAAAATTCGAAGTCTTCTGTCTTCACTATTTGTTAAAATACTCAGACCATCAGCTGACCTTTTGTAATAATAAATTATATTAGAAAATGTGTATTATTAACAAACTTATTGACAGTATAATTGTTTCACCATTTGCATCCTTTTAAACATTGCTGAAATTCTTTGTCATTCACAAGGAAATCATCAGAGCATGAACAAACGAGTTTCAAGTCCTTAAAATGGATAGGTTGATTGATTTCCATAATTTTTTCTTGAGTATCCATCAATATTATCAATGGGTATGTAGTCTGTACTCACCAGCTTAAATATTGTACATAAAATAAGGTACCTGAGTAGTTACAAGTAATATTATACAATTTGAAATTTAGTGTAAAATTTGGTTATGAATTCAACAATAAACAATAAAATATCGTATAAATTCCAGGTACCTACCAAATCTCAATTTTTACAATAATACTATTGCTATGAAAAATTGTATACTACAATATTATGTTTTAATATAAATAAAACGCATTGATAAGTAACTTTTTTCTTCGACTTTATAATGAATATTGAATTGTAATTAATGTTTCAACCGAAACACGACAACAGTGTTATAAAATATAAAATCACAGAGTACAGAATATGTCGTTAGAATTTAGAATATTAAACTGTAAAGCCGCAAGGCGCGAAGACAAAAATTAAATATTTAAATGTGAAATTTTTAAACATTTTGATAAGTGATAAGGATAACGAGTGAAGTTTGATGTGATAAGAACGGTTCTATTATCAATTGTTGTTGATGAATAAACTATGGATGATTCTAAATATTATTTACCATTTACGATTTACCATTTTAATTAATTATTAAATCATTATATATAAATTTACATACCTATAGAAAATCGTCATAAACTTATCTAGGGAAGCTTGGGCTTAAACCCTCCATATGAATATTAACAATTAATAAAAACGGCTAAAAATTCCTATATAAAAATATAATTTTAAATAAATATGATAGGCAGCTATAAGATTGTCTAAATAAAATATAATTAATAATTAATGAAAATGACTAAAAATTCTGACAAAATGATACACTTTGTAAAAACATTTGATTTCTGATTCTTTTGTTATTCCCAAACACATATTTTTTAGCCCTTGTTCATATTTTTATTTTGTGAAAACTGTACCAGTTTGGATATTTAACAATTTAATAGTTGCTTGTGAATTTGATCTCTGGACTCTGGAGTGCTTCAATGAACATCCAAATATTTTTATGCTGAGTTCTCATTAAACTTTTAAATTTATTATTGAAACCTTCTCTTATATTATTTGTTTTACCTATGTTTTTCTTTGTAGCGTTGTGTACATTCCAATATTCCATAAATAAGGTGATTATGTTGGTGAAGATCGCCATAATTCCAAACCCTTTGATTGTGTAGACGTGTAGTAGTTCTCTTGTAAGTCCCATTGACGTATGTAAGTATGTTCTATAAAAGTACAACAATCGATATCTGAATCAATTGGGTCATCTATTCTGATAAATCATGCTGCACAGGTTTAGGTATACCTAAACAATTAATAACAAACCGTAGATTATAATAGTAGTAAGTAATATGGTAATAATATTATTAAAATAATATATAATAGTACATATCGTTCTTAACATATTTTCAGGAGTAATAAATCTAAACCTTTAATCATGCCAACTTTTTCATTTTCTTTAAATTTTGTATTATACTAATCCTATATGTTTTGAACTTTAAGCCATATACTTTTTGTTACAGATGACAATAACAACATTGAATATTAATATCAAAAAATACTAATTCAATAGCTTGAATCATGGATTGTTTAAAGTCTATAAGTACTTATTGTTTTTAATTTCAATTCAGACAACATACTTCTAAGTTTTAATAAAAGTTCGACGTAGATTTCTTTGTAATAAAACATAAACATCATGTAATTTATATGTTTTTAATATATATGTGTGTGAATTATGTATACCTCCTAGGTAAAATTCTTTAGGACAAGTAAAATATGTCCCATTCATACACCACTTGACCGATTTTGTCATCCAATTCTAACATTCTTTCGGGAGACCCAAAAACAATTATTAAATTGATATTGTTTTCATTATCGAATAACAAAAACGGTTTTGGTTCGGGCCCTTGCGTATAGTAATCCAAATACCATTTATTTTCAATTCTCATAAAAGGCATAGCGAAGAATACTTTTTAAGTTTTTATTACGATTTCTTCTTAGTGATATTTTGACCGATTTTTCATATGCTAATAAAACCATTGCTTCGGTTCATGGGTTGATCAATTAGACGTTTCTTATCCTGCTAAAAGTCTGAAAGGAGTATCAAAATTGTTTCGGGGTTTAGGTTTAGTATTCATATTCAACATGCCATTTGTTACTTCTACTTGCCCTGGGGATGGTATCCATTCTCCTGTTCAACATTGCCCAATACATTTAAAATAATTTGATCAGTTGTCATACTACCTTCACAATTTTTGTTTTGGATTTTTTTGTTTGTATATACATATATATAGTCTTTAAAAACAATTTTTAATTCCCCTCTATCCGTTTTAAAAATGTATATTCTATTCATGACCACGAATAAAAAAAAATTATAACCATTATAATTTATAAGTATTTTTATTTTTAAACGTATATAACTACTACACCACTACTAAACGGCTCTGAACAGTTTTGATATAAAAGCTTCACTCAATTGCTCGTGACGATGTAAGATTGTATAAGAATCCCTGCAGGAGCTCATGAAACACATTTTTTTATTCATACCAAAGGAAGGTAAGACATTATATTTTCGAATATTTTCGATCGTCTATATCAATATTTGATTTGTGTAAACATCTATACTATCGATTACTTTGTGTACTATCGAATACGATTAATTATAAAATTACTCGATAGGTAGTCCGGTAGTCGATGATAGTTTAGTCTTTAGAACCTGTCCGGCCGTCCATTAATAAGTTATAGACTTATAGTAATACTAGAAATTAGAATAGTATAATGTATATGCCTACCTACCTATAATTACAACTGATGTGTTTAATGTATTACTGTCTACTGTCTTCAGGGTGTCTCGTCATTGATTAAGTAAACACTGTTTACAATAATACAATATGTACTACATTGGTTAGTAATTAGAAGTGACTTTATAACATTAGTATTTTAGTATTTAGTACCTATAATATATAGTCTGTATGCAGTGTATACTATAATAGATATACTTCTAAACTGAAGTTGTAGCCACTTATATTGACTTTCATCGATTCTATACTTCTATCAAACTGGAATTATACAACTTAACATCTAGTTTTTTCATTTCTTGAAAATGGAAAATAATAGTAAGGTAGGTATTTAAAAATTATATAATATTATAGATAAAATACCTGGTAACCTTGTGCTTTTCAAATTTTCAATACTTCAATTAGGTACATTTCATACAGCAATAACACTTGGTTTGAAATTTGATTACACCTATGTTGACTATAGTTTTGTAATTTGTAACTACTTATTACTTACTTTTTTTTTATCAATCTGATTATTGAATGTATGTGTATAGTGTATTATGCCTCATTAACAACGATTTTCAAATAACTATTTGTAAGTGTGCTAAAAACTAAGATGTCTTAAAGAAAAAAGCAACATTAGTTATAAATTTATAATTTATATTTTATTAAATTACAACCAATTATTATTTAATGTCAACCAGTAGCACCGAACTTATAAAAGTCAGAACATTTGAACATAAAAATAAGTAAATGTCTTAAATTCGTAGTTTGTATACAATTTTAAATCGTGATCACAAATTAGGATAAGTTCTTTTCTAACGGTTGAGAAAGGTGTTAATTCAGAACCAATGATGACAATCGATTATACTATTATAGTCACACAATCGATTGTCAGTAATAATTATCATAATAGTATAATACACAATTATTATTCTGTAAACAAGTTGCATCGCAGTAGGTAACACACGACTACTTCAGCCGTTCTCATATAAATATGCAGTTTTACTAGTTTTAGTCTTTATGATAATTTTTTTAAAATGAAAAACATGTATTTTAATGTTACATTATTCATTATATGCGTCTCCAGAACATCATCAGAAAAAATAGTAAAAGTACTTGGCTTAGATGAAGGTACGTACGAGAAATTTGTTTTAAATAGGTAGACAATATGATAAATAATAATATAACATAACATAATAAAATATTCAATATTTATAACAGTTCAAAACGATTCAAAATATTTTAAAAATTTTATCGTGCATAGAAAATGCTAGTATACACAACCAGTGAAAATGTCATGTATCATTTGTTTTAGAGTTATACCAAAAACCAAAATCGATTTAGTCAAAAACCGATTTTGCGTAAAAATTCCCGGTTTTCCTTAATTTTTTTTTTATCTTTCTCGGCGCTTTTGAAAACTACTGGGAATTTTAAATTTTCAATGCACCAACTAGATTCAATTTCCCATCGAACAAGATACTGAAGTTGAAAATCGAAGCATTATTTCGACTACTATATTCACTAGTTTCACAGACACAAATAAATAAATAAATAAAACATACATCATTGTAAAATCAATACAGAATCTAAAATATAAATAAGAAAGATTGGATATTACTGCGAATTCCTAAAAATAATGAGTACAGATAAAATATATTCTGATTTATGTTCAAATTTATGTCCAATAATTTGCTGTCCACAAACTATTCGAAAAATACAAATTTTAAATAATTTTGTGAATAAAAGACCAAGCATTGTTAACGAAAGTATTGGCAATTTTATTGATTTTTTTTTGTCATATGTAAATGTTCTAAAAGTAAATATTATTGATGTATAGAGTGCCTTAAGTATTCCGAGTTGATGAAAAAGTTCAAAAAAGAAAAAACTAGTTCGACAGAGTTATCAGAGTTTACAACTGAGTCTAGAGTTAGAAACAGAGACACTAACGTAAGTTTTTCTCTGGGTCGTGGTAGGGTAAATATATCAGTGAATTTAGAATAGTTGAAAAACTAAAATAAAAATGGATTTATATTGAATTTGTCTGACTGTACTTAATTATTATTGATCATTGATTTGATTGTTAGTCGTTCTCTATCAACTGTGAAGCAGATTTAAAATCTTCAGTAATGAATATTGTCGAAGAAAAATACAAAAGTGTCACCAACAAATTACAATACACGGATGTTATTTCATATAATATTCCATTGGCTAAACCAAAGGAATACCCACACATGGTATGTATTTAAATTTTGGAAATTCCAAATTTAATAACTATAGGTATTAAACTTTAATACGAATGAAAGATTCATCACTTTTAGGCGATAATTGGTTTCGGGGAGAAGCCGGAAGATGGCAAGTGGGGTTGTGGAGGTTCGTTGATAAGCGAAAGATGGATATTAACATCTGCGCATTGCCAAAGAATGAGCGCTCTGTAAATGTCTAGTACCTACTTATATTATTTTAAATAGAAATATCGCATTAAATTATTTATAAAATTATAAATATACATATATCTTATTATAGCCTTATAGGGGTGATTATTTTACCTGGAACCAAGCATATCGTTGATATGACGAATCTAGGTTAAAATCGGTAAAACCTTATAGAGCATAACACGATTGAGCATAAAATATTTTTTTAGCCAACACTTTTGAACATGGAATATTTTATAACATTCAAACCGAAATGTTGAACAGAAACTCGGATTACAATATTCTATTGAATATAATATTATAATCTCATAAAATTAATAACAGCTAAAAAAATTGAAAAAATATAATTAAATATAAACATTTTCTAAGTTACAACCATTATTCAAATTGTAAAAATATTGAATTTTTACTATTGTATTTAAGACAAATTGAAAGTAGACACTCAAGGTGCGTAATAAATAATAATTTAACAATTTTAATGCACCATGATTATGACCATGAAATCGTGTTATTTTTAAACTCATATACCATGTTTATATAATTGTAAATATTTAAACCAATATTTCTTGAATAAAATAATTCGGAATTGTATGCAAATGTCGACATCGCATAACTTTTTATGCTCAATCCCACGATGGCCGTAAAAATAGCCAGAGACAAAATATCCAGCTGTACTATAATAGCAAAACAAAATTATCCAATGGATAAAAATCCATGGTTATAAATTGTAATTCTACCACAGATTCTAACCAAAGATTTTGTTCGTTCCTCGAGTAAAATATATTCAATACAATAGTACAATACATAATATATTATACTATTAAGTATATTATACTATTATAGTGTATTTGATTTATTTCATGAAAAATAACATACAACATACACCTAATAAATTATTTAACATGCACTTTATTATTATTTATTTACTCTGGAAACTGGCAAGTATTAATAAATTAGGTACTGACCTAAATATTTTAATATAGATATGTGTTTTTGGCTAGGTACAACTTTTTTTTCATAACCGATTTTCGTAACGCTTTGTTTATTGTCATATAGAGTAGAGAAACAAATTAAAAATTATAAAAAAAAAAAATCCGTTGGTTATTTTGACCTTGGATAATTTGATTGAATATTTTAGTATGGGATATTTCGTCCTTGGATATTTTTTCCCATATTCATATTACAAATACAACAAGGGATTTTTAAATTATTTTTTATTTTAATGTTTAACAAAATATGTATATCTATACATAATTATACTATATTTTCCATTTTTCCATGATCATCATTCAACTGCAGTATTAATAAAATTAATCAAAAAATTCCTTGTATTTTCTAAAATATGAGCTGATTCATGATAAAATATCCACTCAGTATTAAGTATTATTAACTACATATACAGTAGCGCAATCAGGGGGGTGTCCTTGGGTCTAGACCCCCTCTCAGGATCGTATTATGTATTACTAGTACGCATATACCTATACACCAGATTTTTTCCTTTAGTTAAATATTCTCTATGTTTCTCTATGATCCTTGGAAAAATTGTGGTTATGCTACTGTATATTTATATACACACATGTCTGTTTAAAGAAATACGGCGCGTTGGGCACGATTAGGAGATTTAAACATAATCTCAACAACAGACGATGCTCGACCGAAAGACTATCGAATAGTGCGGCACGTCATACATCCGTGTTATAAACCACCTTCGATGTACGACGACATAGCTCTGTTCCAGTTAGAAAAAAATGTCGAGTTCTCCGAGTACGTAATGCCGATCTGTCTTAATTCAGATTCATTTTTAGAACCACAAGTGCAAGTAGCTACTAGTTGGGGAAAAACTTCTTTAGGTTAGTTTTTACGTACCGGCTGTATATTTAAAATGGATAAAGATTTATAATCTATGCTTGTCAACCGTCTAAAATTCGATACGAACTTTCAGATGCTTATACAGTTAGCGACAATTTGTTAAAAGTAGAACTGAATATCATCCCCGGGAGTGTTTGCAACGATTCTTATGCCTCATTTTTATCTACCCGTATGACGCTAAAATACGGCATATTAAACGACAGAATGATTTGTGCGAGCCCATTGGAAGGCACTACCGACGTTTGCGGGGTATGATATTTATTTTTTAATATCATATAGGTGTATATTTGCACTACAATGTGTTTAAATTAATTTATCGAATTTTGTAGGGAGATTCTGGCGGTCCGCTTCAATTTAAACACGACGGTTCAAGCTTACATACTCAATACGGAATAATATCATTCGGGACATTATGTAGTGAAGATACTCCGGTAGTGTACTGTAGAGTGTCAAAATATATTTCATGGATCGAAAATGTCGTCTGGCCTTAGATCGAAGTTGAACGAAATAAAATAAATAATGATTCTCGTAATCGGGTAATTAACAGGTAAAGAAATATTATGTTTGAAATAAATGTTAACAATTTTAGGTATAGATGTGTTTCTGGCTGTGTTTTTTATATTTGGTATATTAATTAACCGTTAAAACATATTTATTATCAAATTTATAAAGTACATATGAGTCTAAAATAAAGCTATACTTCGATAATCTACTTTGCATGCTTACTCCTATTTTTAGATTCTGAGCGGACTGAGCTGAGTCATTACTTCACCTTTTGGGGCAGTAAAAATGCTTTGATTTTTTTCAACTGTATCTTGTTCGATGGAAAAGTGAATCTAGTTGATGCATTCAGGAGATCAAAATTTAAAACTCATCATTGAATTCAAATTTAATGCCATCCATTACAGTGACCCACTTGTAACCGACGGTAGGTAAGCAGAGCGACATCCATTTACCCGAATTTTTTTAATATATTCATACACTTGTTCAAATTATGTTTTTTGAAATTATATAATATATTATGTACAAATTAAAAACACCTTGTGGTGATGTATAAATAAATATTTTTTTTATTTTAAATTGGTAAGTTATGTATTTTTAAACTTAAACTAAATTAGTTTATGAGGATTGAGAGGTTCTGCCTGGCATCTGCCTCCCCACTAATCTTATTTTCTCAGAGTGGGAAATTATATATATGTATTTGCAAATTATTTTAAATAGGCGTGAGGCATGTTATAATAAGGTATACTGTCTTAAGCATTGTAATAATGAGTACCTATATTATATAGATTGTTATTATTTTACTTTTAAACTTCATGTATAGGTACAGATATAATGTTATAATATATAATTAAGTTGTCTATATTTTTTGATACAACATTCTTACATTCTGCGAAATGTATAGAGAACCTGTTTGATCTAAACACTGGTATAAAAGTGGTGGGATATACATTATGCATATATAATATTATCCGTATATATAGTAACGCGTATACGTTAATCAAAATATTTAATGTTTTTATTGCACAATTTGTTACATAATGATGATGATAAGAGAGAGAAAAAAAATATATAATCCACAGAATGAAGAATCCTTCCATTGAAAAAGGAACTTCGAGATACGCACCTACTTAATTAGTAAATTATTTACTATATGTATATATATATAGGTATTCATTAAAAATATATTATAAGTATTATCGTACAAATCAGCTTTTAGTTAAACAAAAGGGTGGAATAAAAAACGCCGGTGATATTAACAACAAATCATTTATCCAAAGGTACAATTAACGCTCCGTATAAACCATTAAACGATCGTGATTCCCACTCCGCACATGTATGACGCAGCTCTATACTATAATATTGACCACTACGACTTCGGTACTATTTAGTACATTGTACGTATTAGCACTGGCCCTATAATTGTAAAAAACTATATTTTCATAATATATTCTTGCGTGTCATACGACGTCTCGTGTTTACGTAAACCTATAAATAATTTATTTTTCGAAAATGGAAAATAACCGATTGTTTAAACTTGTATTAAGCAACATTATATTAATTATCTTTTGCGTTTTCAACACATCATCACAACTAGTTGTACAACATCTTGGATTGGAAGAAGGTACGTCGTTTAACTGTTTAAGTATCTATACACATTACACATTGATAAATGTATACCCAACAAGTGTATATCATAGTACAAACATTAGAAAATAAGATTCATCGTTACTATATTTAGCTATGAATTATTTGAGTATTGTGAATCTTAAACACATTGAATTAAACAATAATTTAGTAATTTTCCTACCTGATTTAAAGTTTATATGTTTTACCTATATGATCTTAATAGGTTCTATTTTCAAGAATATCCAAGTATCAAACCTATACTTCTTGTAATTTAGGACATTACTGTACAGCTGTGTGCATATATATTGTTAACCGGTAACTTATATTTTAAATACTGTTCCATAATTGTTATAATATTATGCATAAATTCTATATCTTAATTCCAATAGCCAATTGCAAACGGTTATCTAAATAATAATAATAAAAAAAAATAGGAATTGAGTTCACTGTATACAAGGTTTAATTACTTCTAAGTATATGCTTTTCAATTTTAATGGCAAATGGACACCTACTCCCCCCATAACTATTTTTTGTTAAGTAGAATAGTAGGATTTTGGTATAGATAAAGGTTAGAGTTCACTCCCGACCCATATTTTAAATCCACATGCCACATCCCCCTATATTTTCTAAAAATATATTTATAATTTTTTTTTAATGGAAATATTTGTACCTTTATTTTGTCTTAACTATTCAGAAAAAAAAATTGAGAATTGGAATTGTCCACTATTCGTTTTTAACAATAAGTACTAAAATTTAAAACACCATTTTGAAATATTATTTTTGCTAGATTTCAAGCAATTGTTTTCTGTAGCTATGTCGAATATATTCTAAAAGTAGGTACCTACCTATTAAAAATAATAACCGACGACACAGAACCCTGAACTCTTGGCTGTCCTTGGACCTTGATTAACTCGAAGTACACTTTACTTGTAATAACTCCTATAAACTTATTGCCAGGTTTTCTATATTTTTCATGGTTTTATAAAAACATATATTTATTAATAATTATTATATAACATAATTACGTGTTTAAATTGTTAAATAAGTTAATACCACGAATTAAGATATATCTTAATATATAATTAATATTTCTTAATTCGTGGTTAATACTTCTAAACCCGGTTGCTAGTAGTTAACAATTCAAATATTTTTGTATTCCAACAGATCAAGTGATCGATATTCGAATTATGTTCGTAGACTAATGGCCGTAAGGCATATAATATACAACTATGTAGTACATTAGTACCTAAGTATATTTAAGTGCTAAATTACAAATAGTATAGGCGAGTTGGGTGCATTTTTAAATATTAATGATTTACGTATACTTATAAATCACTTAAGAATTAAAACATCGTAAAAAACCACCGAGAGAACTCAAATAATGTACTTACATTTAAGTTTGATAAAATGTCAATTCACTCAAATAGTCAAATATTTAGGGTAACAACACAAAAATGGAACTGCTGGACGTACATTTTGATATATTATGCGTTACTGCGTAAGTTAGTAAGACGAATACAACAATACACCATAATCCGGGTATGACGTCTTCTTAAATCTCTAGTGTAAGTAGTCAATTCAAGGAAGTATCAAAGAAGCTTCATAAAACATAATAATGGTCGTTAGAATAATATCGTATTCTCCACGCAAATAACGCAAAAACGTAATCATGTTTTATTAAAACTTTAAACCAAAGGTGTTAAAATTAGAAACTTATTCCAGACACGATTTCAAAAAATGTTTGACCCAACTGCACCGAAAGTTTGGTTTTCGATAACGGTTGAAGCGTTGGAAAGCGTCCCTTTATTTCTGTTCTTTTTCGCTGGCGGTAAAATGGAAATCCCCAGAAATATTGAGCTCACATATCACGCGGATCTTCTGCACAATCAGACACCAAAATAGTAAAATCTATACCACGGTCCTTACACAAAACATAAACTTTTGGTTACATCTCATATTCATAAATTAACCTCCTTGCATAACGCGTAAACACTTTTTCTTTTATGAAATTGTTTTTGCATAATAATTTGGTTATTGCATAGACCCCTGCGCCCTGCATATAACGGATTAAGGCGCCTTCACAGCTCCCCGTGAAACGTGATATATTCTAGAACTTCGATTGGTTGAACCATGTGGTTATCTAATGGTTAACCATCATTTTTTTTCTTAATACCTTATCTATACCGCTTATACCGTATAGTTGAGTTCAATCCTTGAGTGTGTGTTTACCGTATGGTTGACAGTCGTGGTTAAGAATATTTTTACGGGAAAAAATTATATAATATCACGTTTCACCTTTCACGGTGACTGCTGTGAAGGCGCCTTTAGATACCTTTGCCGTGATTATACATTTTTTTTTATTCTTATTTTATTTTAATATAATAATTATTATTTATACTGAAATCTATACCACGGTACTTAAAAACATAGACTTTTGGTTACATCTTATATTCATATTATAACCTCCATTAAAATAAACAAAACTATAAATCGTTTCTTTCATGATAAATTATTGTTTTCGTAGAATAGTCTGAGGTTGTTGCATAGAAACCAGCTTAAGCTAACTTTTACCATGATGGCGTGATCGATGAACTCAGAGGCGCGTGACAAAAAATACTAAAGTGTGGCTCATGAGGGAAGGCAATTTCACTCTTGGACGAAATGGAAAAAAAACTTTAAAAAAAATAAAAAATTTCTTTCGCCTAAAAATATCTCAATATATTTTTTAATTGTTATTCTTTATAGAAAATAGTCATGTAATATTTGGTGAGAATTAAAATTATCTACAGTTTTTAAGTTTTGAGTTAATATACTAAAAACCAAAATTGATTTGTTCAAAAACTGGCTTTGCGTAAGAAATAAGAATTCTAGTTTTTTCTTAAATTTTTATGGTTTTATCAACGCTTTTAAAAACTACTGAGTATAGTGTACTACCTGCACCCCACAAAGTATCAGTTGGATTCACTTTCCTACCAGAAAAGATGCTGAAGTACAAAATTGAAACATTATTACTGCCCCGAGAGGTGATAAAGGATAAACAAAAAAAAGCTGGGTAAGTGGATGTCGCTCTGCTGTACAGTAGGTTACAAGTGGGTCACTGTATAATGGATGCTATTAAATTTGAATTCAATGATTCAATATCATTGTATAAGAAAAACGATTCTGAGCGAAGACGGTATATCAGTCTAGGTTTAAGACAAATTATATACATATCTATGGTATTAAAAAAAAAAATTGACCTAAAATAAATTCCAAATTAATCATATCACAATATCCATTAGGTACTTATAACACGTTATACACCAACAACAAACCCTGATACTATCATATATATATAATAGTACACTTTAGAAGTTTCAAGTAGGTACCCCCACGAATAATATTATATAATCACAACAAAATAACTAGGTTTTTTAATATGTAATTTCGTCCAAATTTGAACATAAAATGACTATAAAAGTAAACTGTGATTGTATATTTTTTAGATTTTTCGGTAAGAGAATTAACTACTTACGTGGAATCTTGTTTTAAATTTTCAATCCTTAGCTATAAAAACTGAACATTTTATAATTTATTAATTACGATGATTAATAATTTTCGAGATTTTGAAAAATTCTATCAAAATTCGATGTTAAAATGCTTATAAAAAAAAATTGTGCCTATGTATTTTTAATATTTTTCAACTGATATTGTAACAATATATCAGGAGCCTTGTATTAAATTTTTACACTTTTTGGCCCAACAGATAAAACTTAATTGATATTTATAGAAAAAAAAAACTAAAAAAATTGAAAACTGAAAATGTCCGTAAACGGCTCAAAAAGTGTCAAAATATTTTCAAAATTGTAGGGTGTATAGAAAATGCTAATATAAACATTCAGTGAAATTTTCATGTATCTACAGTAATTCGTTTTTTAATTACAACAAAAAAAGGAAATTGCCACATGAGAAATCGAGTGAATATCCAATGTTGTAAAAATTTGAATTTCAAACGCTCATAAAAATTTAATTTGACTTTCCGGTAGAAATTTTTTTATTGATAAAGGTAGACAATCTTATGAGTAATCTTGTATTAGATTTTCAAATCTTAGATTTAAAAAGAAAAATTTTTACGAATTCTTAACTCAAAATAATTTGCTAATTTTCGTGATTTTTCCATATTTTGTCAATTTTTGAACTTTAAATGCTTATAAAAAAAAATTGTGACTAAGGATTTTTAATATTTTTCATCTGCCTTTGAAACAACATATTAGGAGCCTTCTATTAAATTTTCAAGCTTTCGCAACCAACAAATAATATTTTATTGAAATTTTTAGAAAAAAAACTAAAAAAAAATGGAAAATGAAAATGTCCCTAAACAGTTCAAAATAAATCAAAATATTTTGAAAATGTTATCGTGTATAAAAAATGCAAATATAAACAACCAGTGAAAATTTCATGTATATACGTTCATTTGTTTTAGAGTTACACCAATAACCAAAATCGATTTTTTGGAAAATCAATTTTGCGTAAAAATTCCCGTTTTTCCTTAATTTTTATGTTGACCTCCCCAATGCACCAACGATATTCACTTTCCAATCGAACAAGATACTGAAGTCGAAAATCGAAGCATTATTTCGACTACTTATCGTGTACACAGATACAAAAAAAATAAAAAAATAAAAAAACACACATCATTGTAAAATCAATACATTCATCGTTTCACTCAGAATCTAAAAAAAAAACACATCATTGTAAAATCAACACATTCAACGACCCGTCCAGAATCTAAAATTGAAAATTATCGACCATTATCATATTTGTTTAGCTCAATTATACATTTTTAGGTGACATATGTCGAAAAGGCCGGAGACCAGAAGAAGATTATGTGTGCAAGGGTGCAAGAAATTGTAATGCTTTCCTAGAAAGTATTAACACTAATAATCATCTTGATATATGTAAGTTCGTTGTTTTAGAACCAATAGTATGCTGTCCGGCGATGACTAATGAACCGTTTATAGAAAAACCAAAAAGTAATAATGAAAATTCAATATCCGCCGATAAAAGTACGAACGCCAGTAGTATATAATTCCATTTTTTTTATTAATTATTACATATTACAATTATAATATTATGTTGCAGTAAATATCCAAATTCAATCCATTTTATACAGGTATAGTTTTTTAAGCTTTTTATTACTACATACCTACAGTCGTGAAATAAATACCTATCTATATTAACGTAGGTAAATCATTTTATTATAAAATATTTTCATTAGAATTAGTGTTTATTTTCTAATATTATAAATATACAATTCCTTTTTGTAAAAAAATCAAAATAAATACAAATATATTACAGAATCCTCTCTGATGCCTAATAACTTTGAATAATAACACATTTTGGAGAACTTTTGTTTCTTATATGAACAATACAATTGACAGAACAAAATTAATCTGTGAGACTATTCTTCAATAACTTTATCCGATTCACAATGATTTTAAATAGGTATATGTGTCAATTTGCCCCAAACTATTTGTAACCTTGTACATCATTGAAAAAATTCAGTGTTTTTACTTTTTATTTTTGAAACTTGTAAGTTTTTGTGTAAGTAAATAGAAATATTGTACAAGAAGATAGATTTTTTTCAAACATTTGAAAAATTACTTTGATCATACACACACACATGTACTATGTACCTATAACCTCTTATATTAATAACATGTGGAGGGATTAAAATGTAGAATATACAATTTTTGTTTCTGCATCTGAATTTCAGAACAATTTTTTCGAATAACACAAAGTAGTTTTACATTTCTTCCGACAATGACACAGTTCAAATCCTTTAATATATTAGATGTAGATGTTACGGTCATTGTGGAAAATCTAGGCATTCTGTACATTTCCCGTCAATTTGTTGGCAATATTATTAATTATTTAAACATTTTTATATTGCCTAACCATTTTCATAAAATCGTCAGTGTGAACTTAAAAGTAAACTTGCTAAATAATAATAATATATTGTTTTGCTGTGCAAAAAATTAAAAATCATTAAGATCACAATATTCGTGTTTAATTTTCTATTTTAGCTTGTTACATATACCTATTATAACATCGGTATAATGAATAACTACGATAAGTGACAGTGATTGCCTGTTTTTGATTCAGTATTAGGTATCAAGGAAATAATAAAAGGTGTAAACAGAAAATTAAATGCACTCGATAATAGCTTTCTGTTTTGACTGTGACATAATATAGTCGCAACTCGTCAACTGTGATAATGACATACTATAATATTATATAGATTCTTGATTAAGAAATTATTTTTAATCAATGTTTTATTTAGGACTTCTTCATTTTGAGCTGTTGAAAACCCCGTTAAAGGAAGAGCTGTTGAATATCCAATAGGTACTCTATGTTCTATTTGAAACAGATTACTAACCCCAATCAATGGGTCAAGATTGTTTTGTTTTGAACTGTTAATACTAATACAATATGTTAGTTTTATGTCGGAAAAAAACATCAAATGAAAAAGTTTGTTTTTATTTTGTTTATTAATTTTTTTTTTTTTTAAAGTTTATTTTTATTTTTTCTATGTAGTAACAATTATGTATTTACATAAATTATTTTTGTGTACCTATTATAAAATAATATAACATTAAATACTTTTAAATATCATCAAAATTATAACTTTTTCAATTTTTTGTTTGAAGTAGGTACATTTAAAAATCAGATATAGGTATAGGTAAAAAGTTTTTATCTAATTAATTTTGCTTCTAAGTATCCAAATCATTTTGGCTATTTACTGCAACATATACATATAAACCTAATAATACTAATTGAAACAAATTTTATCAATCAAATAATTTACAGAATGTCATGATTATTTCAAATTAAAGCAAAAAATGCAAAGTGAGGTGCCATTTGAGTCTCAGTTACCTCCGTTGCCAGTTGTGGGCGGCATACCGGCTTATATAAAACAGTTTCCACACATGGTAATCTTGAATCAAAAATGTTATCAAAAACAATATTGCTATAATCTTATACTATTCTTTATTATTGTAATTGTATAACTGTATAGGCGCTGATAGGCTTTGGTGACACGACAGCAGATGGAGAGGATTGGAGATGCGGAGGTTCGCTGATAAGCGAAAGATGGATATTATCTGCAGCTCACTGTCAACAGAGTTCTGGGTAGTAAATATAAGATACCTATATAATAATTTTAATACTAGTTATGTAACTTAAAATCAATAGCGTGTACTAGATGTCTGTTATTTATCATGGAAACAAATTTCTTTTAATTTTAAGGAATCTGGTGGCTCGTTGGGTTCGCCTCGGAGTTTCGGAAAGAGTCGGTACACTCTTTAATGAAAGCAGAGTAGATCGGTCCAAGGACTATCGAATAGTAGAGCATATAATACATCCCGATTATAAACCACCTTCGCTATACAACGATATAGCTCTATTCCGTTTGGAAAACGACGTCGAATTCTCCGAAGCAGTGCGACCCATTTGTCTCAACTCAGATCCGTATATAACGCCATTAAAACTAATAGTTACTGGTTGGGGACGAATTTCTACGGGTTAGTTTATAATGTTTATGTGATTACCCCCTCCCCCTCCAAAAAAAGTTACCACTAGCCACCGCTATTATAGTATAGGTAGGTAGGTCACAAGTTAACAGTTTTTTTTATTAAAATTTTTTAGCTGGACCACTTAGTGACAATTTGTTAAAAGTCGATTTGGATATTTTTCCGGTAAAAAAGTGCAATGAAAGTTATTTTTCATATGATAATCCAAAATTACGATTTGGCATATTACCTGACAGCATGATATGTGCTGGTTCATTTGATGGCGAAAGAGACAGTTGTTCGGTACGAACTATGAAAGTTGTAATGCTTTGTAAAATTGTATAAAACTAAATAGTTAATTAATATTAAAATTACTTTATAGGGTGATTCAGGAGGTCCACTACAGTTAGAACATGTAAACTACGCGGGCATGTATACACAATATGGGATTACATCTTTTGGAAAATTTTGTGCCGACAAGGATACACCTGGGATTTATACTAGAGTAGCCAAATACATATCTTGGATCGAAAAAATAGTATTTTCAAATAACTAAAGATGTCTGGTAAAATTTAATACAGCTAAAAAGATGATTTCTATTTTTAGATTCTGTGAGTGGAGGAATGAATGTATTAGTTTTATAATGACGTGTGTGTATTTTTTTTAATGTCGAACAAATATAATACACGATTTCATATAAATTGATTATATATTTATACCATAAAATAAGAAAAATTGAATAAATATATTTTTGATTAAAAGTGTTCGAATTTACTCAACTTTACATTTACCAATATCCAACGACCCGGAAGGTTTGAGCTAAGTGTAAAAAGAAAAAACTGCCTTAAAATGTGTACATAGACATAACACACTCCAAAACTGCTGGACTATAATTACAGAAGGCCACACGATTCACGAAAAAAATTCTTAAGAAAGCATAGTACATTGGTAGATGAAAAAGTTTAACAAGTGTGTGTCACTCTGCTGTACAGTAGGTTACAAGTGAGTCACTGTAATGAGTGGTGTAAAATTTGAATTCGACAATATATTATAAATTATAATCATTGTATACAAAAAAAAAATTCCGAGCGGAGACGGCTCGTCAGCTAGGTAAGGATATTTTATATTATATTTATATTATAGATATTATTATTAATACGGTAGCCGGAAAATTGAATTAATATTATTTGTACATAGGGTTCTAAAATTTCATAAATTTTTGATTAAAAATAATAAATAAAATTTTAATTTAAAACTATTATAGGAACTAGGAAGTGCAGTAAACATCTCTACTTAGTTAAATGTTAAGTGGAAAATGTTTAAAAATATCGCTTACATCCTACATTATATAAATTTCTAAATCTATCTTATATATTATATATCTTATCTACATCGTGATCGGAAATTAAATATTTATAATCACTAACGAAATCAGTCTGACCATCTAGTGATAATGTTATAGTTTTATACAAAAAAACACAAAATTAAAATAATATATTTTTTGTTATTTCATTGGGGTTATAAACCCCATGCACCCCTCTATCTTCGGCCCTGGATAAATATAGGACATAATATTATGTACAAAAATATTAATAACTCGATTAATTTTATTTTAGATGTATATAACCTATGGTTTTTTTTGTCATACGAAATATAAAACTATATAAAAGTCAAAATATTTTAGATACATGGTCCATTTTAAAAACCTAAATTTTAATGAATGCATATTGCATGTTTCAAGGGTAAATGGGAATCGCGTGAGCTGGGTGATTGAGACACCTCCAATATACAAGAAATCGTGAATTTATCCATCCCATAATATTTTTATGACTATAGCGCTTGATTGTAAATTTCTGACCGCACGCGTATGTAAATTTAATTACTAGGTACTGCGCAGCTCTATACTATACCTAACTTGTACCACTCACCACTTCCTATATATTAGTACTCATACAGTGTAACACTACATCAAGACACATGTTCCCATAATATAAATATATATTTAATTTTATAATATACTAGCATATCATACGACGACTTGTTGTTCATATTACTGGAATCGGTTTTCAGAGATTATGAATGAATATTTTATTTGAAAATGGGAAATAACATATTTTTTAATATTTTATTATTTTGCATTACATTATTCGTCTTATGCGTGTTCAACACATCATCACAACAAGCGGTAAAAACTCTTGGCTTGAACGAAGGTACGTCTATTTACTTTATACACTTTGATAAATAATGTGAAACATTTGTATATTAGTGTAAACATAACAAATCAGACGAATAAAGATACAACGTTACTTGTTATTAAATATTTTGAATTAAATTATATTGATTATATTAACAATAATATTTAATATTATGTTTAAGAATATTAAACCAAATCTAAGTAATTTAAGTCTTAAGACCTAACTGTAGGTTCTATTGTTAAATAACTTATTTTTTTATATACTTTTATTATAACGCATCTGTTTTTATATCATAAGATCAATGATGGCCAGTGGCCGAGGATTATAAAAATGATAATAAAAATAGAACATTTACAATCTTTATTAGAATTGCATTTAGACTGAATACTGAACTTTATGCAAGCTGTTAATTTTGATAATTTCAAAATACGTTTTTAATAAAATTATTTTAAACGTAAAATTTACTTTTTCGTAGGTATATATTTTGTATACTGGATTACAAGTAATAGCGTTGAATAATTATGAAACTCTGTAAATTTTTAATATAATAATTAGGCTTGAATAGAACTCACTGACCTTAATTAATTCATAGCATATTATACTCGTAATACAATTTAACAAGAAACTGATGAAAAAATTGTATAGAGTGTGGCGATCAGCGATGAATGTATTGATTTTACAATAATATGTGTGCGTTTTTTTGTGTGTCTGTCTTCACCTATGTACTAGTTCCAAAAAGCATCAGGAACACCTTCCAAATAAATTAAAGAAAAACATAAATTATTACAAAAATCCAGCTTTCTACAAAATCGATTTTGGTTTTTGGTGTAACTCTATAAAGTATAAACAAATTAACCGTAGGTGTCTAGATAAATTAAATTTTTACTCATTAGCATTTCCTATACACCATAAAATATTCAATATATTTTGACTCTTTGGAGCTATCTATAGAAATAAGTTAAAAATTTGAAAATTTAATACATGATTCGCCATGAGTTGATTTAAGTGGAATTTTAATATTAAGAACATTTTTCATGAGTTTTTTATTAATTTGATATTCACCCGTAAATTAACAAATTCTCATCAAAAGATTTTCTTATTATGTTAATTGTAATTCAAAAACGAATAACTATAGATACTTGACATTTTCACCAAATGTTTATTTTATCTTTTTCTATGCATGATAAAATTTTGAAATATTTTAACTCGTTTTGAGCTATTTATAAACGTTTTCAATATTTGTTAGTCTTTTTTAAAATTTTTTCGTTTGGGTCAAAAACTAACATTTTATACAAAATTCCTCATAAGTTGTTATAATACTATAATAGAAAAGTAAAAATATTAAAGGTGTATAGTTATGATTTTTTTATAAGCATTTTAAGTTCAAATTTCAACAAATTCATTAAAATCTTAAAATCTAAAGTTATTTTTTAGTTAAAACTTAAAAATGTATAAAATGTTCAATAACGATTTAAAAAAACTCTGCTGTAGAGTAGGTTACAAGTAGGTCTCTGTATAATGGATGGTATTAAATTTGAATTCAAGTTTATAATATCATTGTATGAGAAAAACGATTCTGAGCGGAGACGGTATATCAGTCTAGGTTTAAGACAAATTATATACATATCAATGGTATAATAAAAAAAATGTATTTATTGCTACTTGAAAATGTTTAAGTATATTATTAAACTGTATAATAAGAATGACAATTTTTAATTTGATTGTTTTGACAAAAATTAATTCAACCTTCTGTAGGTATTACTAATGTAAAATGAATTATCTTAATAGCAATAATATCATAAAATATAGGTACCTACTTTTAGTAATAAAGGCTGATCGTCTTCGCCCAGAAATATTTTTCGTTTAGCGGTTTCACGAAAGTAGTACTTTACTACCAGAAAATATGATAAAGTAAAAATTGAAGCATTTTAACTGTTCCAAAAGGTAATTAAAATAAAAAAAATCCACATACATCACCACTACGATGAGAATCTAAAATTTTTTTAAAAAAATAAATGTAAATGTAATAAATTATTTTGGAAATAACAAAAAAACAGAAAATTATTGATTTATATCTTATATTTTTAGCTCAAATGAATATTTATTTTAGGTCAGATATGTCGGAAAGCCCTAAGACCTGATCAAGAATATGTGTGTACGAGTACAAGATACTGCAAAGCTTTTAAACACAGTCTTAAAACCCGTAATTATCTTGATATATGTAAGTTCGTTGGTTTACAGCCGATAGTTTGCTGTCCAGTGACGAATTATGAAGAGTTAATTGAAATACCAGAAATGAAAAATGAAAATCCAATATCGGCCGATGAAAGTACGAAGTAACAAATTCATGTTATATATTTATAATAATATGTTATGTAGTAATCATAGTAGGTAATTATTGTAATTCATAAAAGTTTTGCTTGCTTATCATAGCTAAGATTAGAAATGTTAACAAAAGATATCACACAAATTACTGTTCTACTTTTAACAAAAAAAAAAAAAGTGTACCAGAAAGTTATGCTATTTATAGCCATAAGATATTTTCGATTTTTATTTTTTTTTTATTATTACATTTATACAAGGATTGTTTATATGAGGACAACGTCCCCACTCAAAATCGTTTTTCGTATGAAATTATCATTGAATTCAAATGTAATACATCTATTACAATTGTATGATCGACAAGTACTAGCTGTACAGTAGTGAGGTAATCAGTTGTTCACCTTTTTTTATGGACTTATGAAGTCCAAATTTCATTTAAATTTGATAATTAAACAAAGAATAGGTAGCAATGTTAATTCTAACTGATTCTGGAAATTTACTGAAACATAGATCTGATTATAGTACCTACCTAAAAGAAATAAGAAGTATGCTCAACATAAACCGCATTTTCGTCCTAGTTTGTGCGGCGTGCATCACCTTCAATTGTTGTGCATACTGCATTGCACAGGATTAAATGTATACGTGTGACGTCACTTTAAGTTTATTGTTGATTGCATATATTATAAATTATACATTTCCCCTTAAAACTATATGCACATCGAATTACTTCTTTTTCATTATACTAAGCATTTAATATTGAAATAGATTTTATCAATTGAAAAACTTTTGCAGAATGTTATCAATATAATAAAATAAAAATAGATTCCAAATTAAAGGAAGAAGGTGTATTTTATCCTGCAGCAGTAGGAGGAACAGATGCAGAAAAACAAGAGTTTCCACACATGGTAATATTGAATCATCAACATACTCAAGTCTGAAAGTCAAGATGGGTATAGCATACTATAATTTATTTTTATAAATGTACAACTATAGGCGCTGTTAGGTTATGGTGACTCCACGACAAGTGGAGATGATTGGAGATGCGGTGGTTCGCTGATAAGCGAAAGGTGGATATTGACTGCAGCGCACTGTCAAGAAAGTTCCGGGTAAATCATCCGATACAAATTAAATACTAGTCAAGTAACTTAATATATCCAATCGTGCGTGTTGTCTGTTATTTACCATGGATATACATTTCTTGTGATTTTAAGGAATAAAGCTCGTTGGGCTCGCCTTGGAGTCTTAGAAAGGGTCGTTAATGAAGACAACGTAGTTCAGCCCAATGACTATCGAATAGTGAAGCATGTAATACATCCCGAATATAGATCACCTTCGCTATACAACGACATAGCTCTATTCCGTTTGGAAAGGGACGTCGTGATTTCCGAAGATGTGCGACCGATTTGTCTTAACACGGATACGGATCTATCTTCAACACCTTTAAAACAAATAGCTACTGGTTGGGGGCGAATTTCAACGGGTTGGTTTAAAATTTTAAATGATCATCCAAACAGTAGCCCGTAATCACCACTATAGTAGGTCAAAAGTTAACAATGTTTTTATTTTTATTACAATGTTCAGCCGGGCCACTGAGCGACAATTTGTTGAAAGTAGATTTGGATATTTTCCCCACAAATCAGTGCAATGAAAGTTATATTACAAATACTCGTCAATTACAATTCGGCATATTACCAGACAGGATGATATGTGCGGGCTCGTTTGATGGTGAAAAAGACACTTGCACGGTACGAACTATGGAAGTTGTAATACTTTGTAGAAATTTAATTGATTAAATAATATAAAAATGTCTGTAGGGTGATTCGGGAGGTCCACTTCAAGTAAGACATCCCGACTATCCCGACATGTATATACAGTACGGGATTACTTCGTTTGGGAAATTTTGTGCAGACAAGGATACCCCCGGAATTTATACTAGAGTAGCCAAATATATTCCATGGATCGAAGAAATTGCATTTTCAAACAACTGAAGATCATACAATTAATTAATACAATTTAAACTACATAAAAACGTCTTTAAAAAAATAAATATATTTTATATTGTATAACAATCAAATCAAAAAGTTTGTTTTTATTTTTTTCTATGTAGTAACAAATATGTATTTACATAAATTATTTTTGTGTACCTATTATAAAATAATATAACATTAAATACTTTTAAATATCATCAAAATTATAACTTTTTCAATTTTTTGTTTGAAATACATTTAAAAATCAGATATAGGTTGTTACATGCGGCCCTTCAGGGATCCAAAAGCTGGTGTACTTGATAAATAACAATAGTCAAATTAATATGATAATCAAATGTAATATATTAAACCAGGCAAAACAAGCAGAATAATAGTTTTGATTTGTAGTGAATTTGTAGCTCGTTCCGAAGTTGATAATCTCCGTGTAAGTCGTGTGTGATGGCTGGGCGGCTAAATGAGTCGTGTGGTGTTCTCGTCTCTGGATACATCTAATTTGTATTGAGGCCCTAGCCTCTATATATACGAATATACGAAGGCGACGCCCTTTGAATTGAGCGGCGCGTGGCATGTAGGCGCCCTTGGGAAGTTGTTGTGATCCGAAGCGTTTATTCTGGCTATGACCACTTTGGGTGTGGTCGACGAGGCCGCTTTCTACATAAGTAGTACTTGTTATTGTGAGCGTTGTACATGAATTGCGTAATCCCATTACAAGGTATAGATAACAAGTTTTTATCTAATTAATTTTGCTTCTAAGTATCCAACTCATTTTGGCTATTTACTGCAACATATACATATAAACCTAACAATACCAATTGAAACAAATTTTATCAATCAAATGATTTACAGAATGTCACGATTATTTCAAATTAAAGCAAAAAATGCAAAGTGAGGTGCCATTTGAGTCTCAGTTACCTCCGTTGTCAGTTGTGGGTGGCATACCGGCTTATATAAAACAGTTTCCACACATGGTAATTTTGAATCATAAATGTTATTAAAAACAATATTGTTATAGTCTTATACTATTCTTTATAATTGTAATTGTATAACTGTAGGCTCTGATAGGCTTTGGTGACACTACAGCAGATGAAGAGGATTGGAGATGCGGAGGTTCGCTGATAAGCGAAAGATGGATATTAACTGCAGCGCACTGTCAACAGAGTTCTGGGTAGTAAATATAAGATATCTAATATAATTTAAATACTAGTTATGTAACTTAAAATAATAACATCAATAGCGTTTACTGTCTGTTATTTATCATGGAAACAAATTTCTTTTAATTTTAAGGAATCTGATGGCTCGTTGGGTTCGCCTCGGAGTTTCGGAAAGAGTCGGTACACTCTTTAATGAAAGCAGAGTAGATCGGTCCAAGGACTATCAAATAGTAGAGCATATAATACATCCCGATTATAAACCACCTTCGCTATACAACGATATAGCTCTATTCCGTTTGGAAAACGACGTCGAATTCTCCGAAGCAGTGCGACCCATTTGTCTCAACTCATATCCGTATATACGCCATTAAAACTGATAGTTACTGGTTGGGGACGAATTTCTACGGGTTAGTTTACAATGTTTGAACATGTAAACTACGCGGGCATGTATACACAATATGGGATTACATCTTTTGGAAAATTTTGTGCCGACAAGGGTACACCTGGAATTTATACTTGAGTCGCCAAATACATATCTTGGATCGAAAAAATAGTATTTTCAAATAACTAAAGATGTTTGGTAAAATTTAATACAGCTAAAAAGATGATTTCTATTTTTAGATTCTGCGAGTGGAGGAATGAATGTATTAGTTTTATAATGACGTGTGTGTATTTTTTTTAATGTCGAACAAATATAATACACGATTTCATATAAATTGATTATATATTTATACCATAAAATAAGAAAAATCGAATAAATATATTTTTGATTAAAAGTGTTCGAATTCACTCAACTTTACATTTACCAATATCCAACGACCCGGAACATAGGCGTGCGCACAGGGTATGCAGGGTATGCCGCTGCATAGTCTGCGGCTTTATGTGAGGGGCCCATATATAATATACCAAAGCATTTTTGATAATATCTTCTATATTAAAAAAAAAAATTTGTTTTCACTTTTCTCGCGACCCGCAAGATAATCTAAGCTATTAATACACTAGAGCGTAACACGTAGATATTGTTATCTATGTTGTAAGAATAGAATAATTATTATTGTTTTTATAGTTTGTAATCAAAGACCACATTATAATTATAACTGAGTCCGGTACTATGTCACAAGAACGTCTTGATTCACTGATATTTATCGAGCAAAAAATGGCATCAGAAATCAATATTGAAGAAGTAATAGATGAATTCAAAACATGTGTGCCGATAAAAAGAAGACTTGAACTTTAGAGTTTAGATTTTAAGTACTTTCCATGAATTAACAACATTATTAATATGTTAAAATTATTCAAAAACATTCATACTAGTATATACTTGATCAAATTTTCTTTAAATAAATATAATTCAAATTTCAAACTACTTATTTCTACAGCGCATTGTTTAATATTCTACTGTAAAACTATGTGTGATTTCAGATTCCGAGTAAAGCAAAAAAGCTAAGTAAATATATTTGCAAAAACTTAGATTGTAAATTGAATCCTATATGTGTTAAAAAAAATGTTTAACGGCTTAGAGTTGTTTTTTAGAATAAATTAAGGAAAGATTAGAATTTGTGAGGGGGCCCTGTTTTCCTTATTGCATAACCTGCGAATAAAGTCTGTGCACGCCTATGACCCGGAAGGTTTGAGCTAAGTGTAAAAAGAAAAAACCGCCTTAAAATGTGTACATAGGCATAACACACTCCAAAACTGCTGGACTATAATTACAGAAGGCCACACGATTCACGAAAAAAATTCTTAAGAAAGCATAGTACATTTGTAGATAAAAAAGTTTGACAAGTGTGTGTCACTCTACTGTACAGTAAGTTACAAGTGAGTCACCGTAATGAGTGGTGTAAAATTTGAATTCGACGATAGATTATAATCATTGTATACAAACAAAATTCCGAGCGGAGATGGCTCGTCCGCTAAGGATATTTTATATTATATTTGTATTCGATATTATTATTAATAAATCGGCAAATTAAATTAATATTATTTGTATATAGAGTTCTAAAATTTCATAAATTTTTGGTTAAAAATAATAAATACAATTTTAATTTAAAACTATTGTAGGAACTAGGAAGTGCAGTAAACATCTCTACTTAGTTAAATGTTAAGTGGAAAATGTTTAGAAATATTATATTATTACATCTTACATTATATAAATTTCTAAATCTATGTTATATATATATCTTATCTACATCGTGATCGGAAATTAAATATTGATAATCACTAACGAAATCAGTCTGACCATCTAGTGATAATGTTATGTACTTTTATACAAAAAAAACACAAAATTAAAAAAATATATTTTTTGTTATTTCGTTGGGGTCATAAACCCCATGCACCCCTCTATCTATATAGATATAGGACATAATATTATGTAAAAAATATTAATAAATCGATTAATTTTATTTTAGATGTTTATAACCTATGTTTTTTTGTCATACGAAATCTAAAACTATAAAAGTCAAAATATTTTAAATACATGGTTCATTTTAAAAACCTAAATTTTAATGAATGCAAATTGCATGTTTCAAGGGTAAATGGGAATCGTGTGCGCTGGGTGGTTGAGACACCTCCAATATACAAGAAATCATGAATTTATCCATCCCATAATATTTTTATGACTAGCGCTTGATTGTAAATTCCTGACCGCACGCGTATGTAAATTTAGTTACTAGGTACTGCGCAGCTCTATACTATACCTAACTTGTACCACTCACCACTTCCTATATATTAGTATACTCATACAGTGTAACACTACATCAGGACACATGTTCCCATAATATAAATATATATTTAATTTTATAATATACTAGCATATCATACGACGACTTGTTCATATAAATGGAATCGGTTTTCAGAGATTATGAATGCATATTTTATTTGAAAATGGGAAATAACATATTTTTTAATATTTTATTATTTTGCATTACATTAATCGTCTTATGCGTTTTCAACACATCATCACAACAAGCGGTAAAACTCTTGGCTTGAACGAAGGTACGTTGATTTACTTTATACACTTTGATAAATAATGTGAAACATTTGTATATTAGTATAAACATAACAAATCAGACGAATAAAGATGCAACGTTACTTGTTATTAAATATTATTAAATATTATTAAATATTTTGAATTAAATTATATTGATTATATTAACAATTTTTTTTTTTTTTTTGCTTTATGGGCCCTTAAGACCTTTCGCAGCTTCTACTAAACCTCTCCACTTGTCACGATCACTAGTAAGGTTATTATTCAGTACTTTTTGAATTATGCTTCCCTCAGCTCGCCATACATGACCGGCCCATTTTATATTAACAATAATATTTAATATTATGTTTAAGAATATTCAACCAACTCTAAGTAATTTAAGTCTTAAGACCTAACTGTAGGTTCTATTGTTAAATAACTTATATTTTATATACTTTTATTATAACGCATCTGTTTTTATATCATAAGATCAATGATGGCCAGTGGCCGAGGATTATAAAAATGATAATAAAAAAAGGTGGGTAAGTGGATGTCGCTCTGCTGTACAGTAGGTTACAAGTGGGTCACTGTATAATGGATGCTATTAAATTTGAATTCAATGATACAATATCATTTTATAAGAAAAACGATTCTGAGCGAAGACGGTATGTCAGTCTAGGTTTAAGACAAATTATATACATATCTATGGTATTAAAAAAAAAAATTGACCAATAATAAATTCCAAATTAATCATATCACATTATCACAATATCCATTAGGTACTTATAAAACGTTATACATCAACATCAATAACAAACCCTGATACTATCATAGATATATAAGATATACAAAATAACTAGGTTTTTTAATATGTAATTTCGTCCAAATTTGAACATAAAATGACTCTAAAAATAAACTGTGATTGTATATTTTTTAGATTTTTCAGTGAGAGAATTAACTACTTACGTGGAATCTTGTTTTAAATTTTCAATCCTTAGCTATAAAAACTGAACATTTTATAATTTATTAATTACGATGATTAATAATTTTCGAGATTTTGAAAAATTCTGTCAAAATTCGATGTTTAAATGCTTATAAAAAAAATTGTGCCTATGTATTTTTAACATTTTTCAACTGATATTGTAACAATATATCAGGAGCCTTGTATTAGGTTTTTACGCTTTTTGGCCCAACAGATAAAACTTTATTGATATTCATAGAAAAAAAACTAAAAAAATTGAAAAATGAAAATATCCGTAAACAGCTCAAAAAGAGTCGAAATATTTTCAAAATTGTATGGTGTATAGGAAATGCTAATATAAACATTCAGTGAAATTTTCATGTATCTATAGTTATTGGTTTATGAATAACAACAAAATAAGGAAATCGCTACATGAGAAATCGAGTGAACATCCAATGTTGTAAAAATTTGAATTTCAAACCCTTATAAAAATTTAATTTGACTGTCTGGTAGAGATTTTTTTATTGATAAATGTAGACAAACCTATGAGTAATCTTGTATTACATTTTCAAATCTAAGATTTAAAAAGAAAAATTTTTACGAATTCTTAACTCAAAATAATTTGCTAATTTTCGTGATTTTTCCATATTTTGTCAATTTTTGAACTTTAAATGCTTATAAAAAAAAACTGTGACTAACGATTTTTAATATTTTTCTTCTGCCTTTGAAACAATATAGTAGGAGCCTTCTATTAAATTTTCAGGTTTTTTTAACCAACAAATAAAATTTTATCGATATTTCTAGAAAATAAACTAAAAAAAAATGAAAAATGAAAATGTCCCTAAACAGTTCAAAATAAATCAAAATATTTTGAAAATATTATCGTGTATAGAAAATGCAAATATAAACAACCAGTGAAAATGTCATGTATCTACGGTCATTTGTTTTAAAGTTACACCAAAAACCAAATTCAATTTTCTGAAAAATCGATTTTGCGTAAAAATTCCCGTTTTTCCTTAATTTTTCTTTTGTTTTTCTTGGCGCTTTTGAAAAGTACTGGGAATTTTAAATTTTGACCTCCCCAATGCACCAACGATATTCACTTTCCAATCGAACAAGATATTGATGTCGAAAATCGAAGCATTATTTCGACTACTTATCGTGTACACAGACACAAAAAAAAATAAAAAAATAAAAAAATAAAAAACACACATCATTGTAAAATCAATACATTCATCGTTTCACTCAGAATCTAAAGTAGAACATTTACAATCTTTATTAGAATTGCATTTAGACTAAATACTGAACTCTATGTAAGCTGTTAATTTTGATAATTTCAAAATACGTTTTTAATAAAATTATTTTAAACGTAAAATTTACTTTTTCGTAGGTACCTATATATTTTGTATACTGGATTACAAGTAATAGCTTTGAATAATTATGAA